AGAACCTTTGCCTAATATCCAACCTCAACCTACATATATTAAAGAAGAGGGAAAAAGGTGAACAAATACTTTTAAACTAGATAAAATGGATTCACTTTCTGGTTCTAAATCTTGCTTTAAAGAACTTCTGATAGAAAGGGTGTTTTTAAATATACTTTTATACTTAATTCATAAATACTCTGGTAAGAATCTGGTGGTTTCAAAGTCTTTTACTGTCATGATTTGTAGTAATACAGAAATTCTGCCTGCTGTAGACTCTGAATAATTTGAACTTTGTTGTGGATGTAATTAAAAGTGCCAGTTTTTTAGAAGGAAGGAATATAAGAGAATCACATGGACATCCAAGGGAAAGGAAGGACTTGGTGGGAAGAAAGTGGAATGGCAAAGGAGATAACATCCTCTTCTCTGCTGAAGGAAAAAAGACTATATTCGCCATCTGTCAAAGTTTTGGTATAGAATAGAAAACTAAAGGAAATACAACAGAGGAAACATTTCACACTTCAGATTTGTTGCCATGGCAGTCTGCACAGCTGGGTCTGTACCTCAGATTGCTGCCACTTGGAAAAAGTACTGCATGAGATATTTAAAAATACACAAGATTTCACTTATTAAGGAACTTCATGAATTAATCTTGGAGCACGTTTCAGATTCATCAGTGTGTTGAGCACTTTACAGCTGCAGAAACATAGGCAATAGTCAGTTCTTTTCAAAGCCCTCAGCTAGCAGGGGAACTGAGAGCAGCACTAGGGCAGCTTCTGCTTTTCTTTGCTCTCACCAGTGCTGTGCTGCTGCAGTGAAGTTCACGAGAAGGTCTCCAGTCTGGGCACTGTGCTGCTTTCGTTATGAACGAGTCATGGTAAATAGGGTTTCAGCTATGCACCTATCCCTAGCACAAACCCAGTTTGTTTTAAAAAAGTGGAACAAAAAGGTATTACTTCCTTTACAGGTTTCTGGTAGCAGTGTCATATTTTTTCAACAACCTTGGGACCTGTTTTGAGTAGCTGAATGTGTATTTTCTGAAACTACTCCAAACTGTGGTTGACTTGAGTGCAATCTCTTTGTATTGACAGAAAAGGGCAGATTCAGATGCCACGTTGCCCTGGTTTGTACTGGTGTAAACATCTTGACTTTGTTGTACCTGATCTACCCTTTTCCTTGCATTTATGTAGACGTTCACCCTTCTCAAACCCATGGGCTGGTGAACTTGCTGCTTATTTATGAACTCTGCTCTCATTTTAGGTCCTTCAATCTATGTTGTATTAAACAGGATTGACTAATTCAGGTGAGACAAACAGCATTTTTGTTAGCTGCTCAGAGCTTTAGGAGCTCTGAGGAATGAAGCTTCAGAAAATCACTGCTCTGTGTTTGTTCAGAGATGCTGATTCTCCAGTTTGTCACAGAAAACACCCTTTAAACCATTGTATGGAAGTTCAGGGCACCTTGTGAGCCACTAGGCTTTGACTAGATGGGGTAATATTGCAGCTTCCATTTTCACAGTTATTCCCATTTATTTCTCACTGAGACTTAAACTCAGAAGTGCCTTAGACTGAGGTGGGGTTTTTTTTAAAGGAATTTACCAATAACCATTTTAAACAGAGTTTGCTATCACTTGCTGTCTTCCTACACTTCACAGAAAATTGAAAGGGAACAAATGAATAACTTTGCAAGTATAGCCAGGAAAATGTTTTCATATATATGGGGTAAACCAACTGATGGGTGATGAGTATTTGGTTATAGGCAGTGGCTACTGCAATAAATAGGCTATGAGACACCTTATATTCTTAAAGCTACATTTTCTTTGGGATGCCAGAGGTATGTGTTATATTCTGGGAACCAAGAGAGTTTCTGCTGGGAGCTGATTTGGGCAGCACAAAGGAGAGGAAGTGACAAGGACACACATGTAGAGGCCCAGAGAAGCTGCATTAGGCATAGGCTGATGTAGGCATTAATCACCAGCCTTGTATTTATGTGGTGCAGTTACTTTTATCTTGTTGGTTGCAGGATTCTTTATGCTGAAAAAAGTCTGGAGGAGGCATGTGCCTTTTTGCTTTCATCCCCAGTCAACTTCAGGCTGATTTTAACAATGTCAAACAACATCCAAGTCATGCAATTTGTTATGTTTTCATTCAGTGAAGCAACACAGGTTTAACCTTGTCTGTTACAGTTTTTTATCAAGAAAGCCAAGAAAAAGTCACACATTTTACTGACCAAGATACACTTGAACACTTTTTATTGAGGATATGAATAGTTCCTTTATGAAGCTTCCCAGAAAGTCCATTTCTGTAGAATTTTGCTGTTGTATTGGAGGCCACATCTCTTCATTGTAACAGAACCAGAAGTTTTCTCATGGCTGATCACTTTGATTAACTGAAATTATACCTTCAGAGACCAACACAATTTGATTCTGAAATGTAAACTTTTGAAACTAGGACCTCTAGTAGGTTAGTCAGCAAGGACTAGGTATGTTAATAACTCCAACAGAAGCACAGAACATTTGTCTTAGTTCATTGATTCGACTTAATTAGCAGTTCAGCGAGAGGGCTGTAAGCCATAGATCAATTCAAATATGAAGTTTAATTTTGTGAGAAAATAACCCTATTAATAATGGCACTTAACTAGCTCTTACTTTCTAGTACACAGTATATACATACAGAAACATACAGTACACATTCCTGTTCAGAGGTTGACATTTAAATGATACACTTTCAGAAATAATTTAATAAATTCTTTGCAAATTCTTTTTACATCAGTAGGCTGATTTTTTTAAAAAAAATCTTGCATATATACAGTATTTCATTCATATTTATTTAACTGTGAAATAGATAAGCCCCTATTTACAGTCATCAGAAACCTTCAGCTATTTGAAATGGAAAGGCCCTGATTTTGAGAACTTTGTATATTGAAGTTCTTCCTTATTTATGATACCTTGTATTTCTTTAAGTATTTTCCTGCACTTTCTCCTCTTCTGTTCTTGATATAAATATTGCAAAGCTCTCACTTTTTGGGATATTACTTTTATAGCATGTGAGGGTGGTGTGATTAAGTCCAGAGTTTCCTTAAGGGAACAGCAGCCAGGCAGCTCCATGGCACAGTTTCTTGGAGGCAACTAATACATCAAATTAACTCTTAAAAACAGTTCAGTGGCTACCAGTCTTGTTCATTAAATAATCTAATTGTTTGTGTCTGTGATTGCCATCACATTTGGTACTTATCAGGGATACAGGCAAACCCACGTAGCTCTGTTGCAATAAAAAAGGATCAGAGAAAGAATCAACATTGGTACTTCAAGGGTACATTACACAAACCCTGTCTTTCTCCATCTCTTCAGTAGCAGCTGCAATTTTACTACATAAATCCATTCGTAATGTCAAATATTCAAGATTTGGGTCATCATCAAGGACTTGGTCTAATGAAGTAAATATGAGAGTTGAAAGGTACCAGGTGTGCAGGACCAAGCAGGGATGGGAATGGGAGTGAAATGGAAGTTAAATAAATGGTGCAGAGGAGTGAAAAAGATAAATGATGAAAGAGCCATGATCTGAAACTGGGAATTTAACACAGAGGGAAAGGAACAGAAATAAATTCAGCAGTCCTGTTAGAAACAGAAAGGAGGACGTCTTAGGAGAAGGGGGAGATGGAAATAAGGAAGCAGCATGGAAGTTAAAATTGCACTTAATGCTGCCTGTTCAGCCACACTGTTCTGGCAGTGTCCCAGTTCTGAAAGCCTCTATTCACACCAGATAAGCCAGTTCCTCCCTGCTGGAACTCTTCCTGCATAATGGGACAGAATTTCTTTAACAGATTTTATGTGAGAGATTTAAAGTGATGCATTAGGAAAGTTATTTTTCCTCAGATGGGAAGAAGGAGTCTCTTTGCTTGACAGCTGTAAGGGAAAATTTCCTTCTTAAGCACTTCTGTGTAGAAATGAGCTTGAATGCTCAAGATGTGGAGAAATTCATAGAAAACCTCTCAAGGGGGGAAGAAAATCAACCCAAGCAGCCAGTATCATGTTAGCAGAGAAGCACTGTAAATGAGTATGTGAATCAGACACAGCCAGAAAGAACAGCTTCTTCCTGAGCATCATTTCCATCAACAGGATGATGGATGTAGTTGTGCTGGACAGATTTTGTGTGTGGGAAAACACCATAGAAATAGTTTATTTACTGTATAGGCTTTAAAGCCTATAACTTTGAACTTATAAAACCCTTACGGGTTAACAAAATGTCAACAAAATGTGGAAAGCTACTAAAAAAAAGTAAAGATCAATGTTGAATCTTCCCCCAGGATGTTGGTAACTGAGAGATGTATATGAAGAAGACAAGCAAAGATGGCTATGAGAAGAAATTACTTGAGTAATGTTGAGGGAAGAAGATCTGCAAAGGCTGTTCCCCACCTGCTTTCCACTTAGAATCTAAGCACGTGTCTGACAGAATAGGACCAGTTATCACGTGAGGTTGTGGTGTAAGCAATGGAAAAGGTTCAATCTGGGTTTATTCCATGTCTTTTTCTATACCAGAGGCTTGAAAAGTCACATTTTTTGCATGAAGTCACGTGGAATTTGAGTTGTGTTGTGACAGATTAAGCAACAAAACCACACTGTGGTGTTGCAGGGCGAGTGACAAATATGTCTCGTGGCCCCAGACCAGTGGGAGAGTATCAGTTTCACTTGTACCTCCCTCTGTCATTAACAACATCAGCACGGGGACAGGTAGTTCTTTGTAGGTTGTTGTTGTGGGTAACTGTTTATTTGGTGATCTGGATTGGATTTCTTCACCCTCACAATGAAATACCAAAACTAGATCTTACTGTGTCTTCAAGAATCCTTTTCTGAGAGGTCAGCAAAGAGCTGGTGCTGACTGGGACTCCTAGATACTGCTCCCATTTTAAAACCTGGTCTGTATGGAGGAATTTTATATGGTTTCCAAACCTCTGGTGATGCTCTAGATTTAAAGAAAGTTAAATTTATTTGCTGCAAACATATCCCTTGAAAATACAAAATGTTAATCATAAACGTATTTATTTTTTAAGATAATTACTCTTGTTACATGAACATATGTGGACCATAACACTTAGCCAGACAATCTTTACCAGTTAAATTCTGATTTAACTTTGTAAACCACCGTGTCCTTCATTTTACTATGTGGAACAAACATCTCTCAGTTCCCTTAGAATTAGTTAATAAATATTTCTGAATTCTTGAAATGTTTTAGGATGCACACAAAGCACTGGAAAATTAAAACACACTTTTGTTAATTGTTATAGCTAGGGAAAAAAATAAATCAGTTTACCATAAAATGTTAAAACAGGTTAGTTTGTGTGAGAAAATAATTTCCAAAAATGGTAAATTAGACTTCTTTTAGAAGGGATTCAATGATGGAGAAAGAAATTAAATAATTTAATTTATAATTAACATTTACTATTTGGACATGTATAATTGGATAATATGATCTTTAGTAAAGATCATCTATGTACTCTTCATTGAAAAATGCTATTTACTTCATCAAGGATAGCACTATTACTTCTTTGTACAGAAAACAAGGTAATACCTTTTTCTGTACAAGATACAAGGTGCTGTGTCTTCAGTCAAGACTTAGTGATTTCTTCAGCCAGGAAGATTAAAGCCATGAACACAGAGTTCCTGCTTTGTAACCAGTTCAGTGCACTGAAGGTTTCAGATGTCACAGGTATCGCAGCACACAGAGGCCAGAGCCTCACGAGACCTCAGCAAACAACTGCGTGAAAATTAAGACTGTTTCGTTGAGCGGCAGTGGAAGCTCCTTCCAGCCTCTTGGTTGGGACTCTCACATGAATGTCTCCAAGTGCCAACACAGCAATACCACAGTCCCAGCACTGGAACACCGAGTGCTGCAGTAACAGAGCACCAAGGGTTTGTCACACCTACGTCATGACTTGCTGTACCACTGTGCGTTCGTGGGAACACCCTTGGTTCCCACAGTGTATCTTTTTAAGCAAACGTCGTAATTTGTTGGGGAAGTTTTTGTTGATGTATCTGTAGAGCAGGGGCATTACAAAGCTGCTGGAGAAAGCCAAGAATTCGGATAAAATCTCGGTAAAATGTAATATCCGACGGTAATTTTCGTCTACAATTCTTATTTGTGCATTAGTGAACGTGCTTACCAAGAGGATAACGTAATAGGGTGTCCACAGTGTGAACTGTGTGCAGACTGTGGCTATCAGAAGCCTGTGCACTGACGGATCCAGTCGCCCAGTGTCCTGATCCAGTGGTGTAGCCTCCTTGCGTATCCTCAGGATCAGCGTCAGTGCATACAGTACAGCGATGGCTGGCACCACGTACCCGATGAAAACCATGATGGCATCTGCTGCTTCCTTGTTCTGCATCTTGGAACATTCAATTATTTTAGTGGATACGTGACTGCAGACGTAGAACAGGAGAGATGAGAAGCTTGTAAGCATGGCACCACCCCAGATGAATCCACAAACATGTTTGGTGTTGTACACGCTTGACATGTAAGTCCTAGGGAGAGCACGTTCGATGTAGTAGTCCAGACTGAGCAGTGTAGTAGAGTACATGGTAACTAAAGAGGAGACATTGAATAAGATAAGTAAGGTGATATAAACTTCATTGTTAGAATACCAGATGGCCCATTTGGTGTTGGCAAGACCTAGGAGGTACATTGGTGCCAGAGCATTGATGATGAGCCCAGCGATGGCAATGTTGACAAAGTAAACATCTGGCATAGTCATAGTAGCTTTGTTGTAGAGGTTAACTAGGACCACCAAGCCATTGTAACAAAGGCCAATTGGGAAACATATAATGAGGTAGAGTAGGGAAAAGATGGAAAGCACGAGGTGGAAGTCATGGCAGAGATGCTGGTCCTCACTGTTCTCAGTACTGTTGTTTAAGGCTTCACAGCTCCACATAGTGATTTTAGCTCTTGTGTCTTCTTTGCTGCTTACCAGCTTCTCTGTAGAGAGACAAATAGTGAAAGTATGGTTGAAATGCTACATTGCAAGTGAAATGCAATGTACTATGAAGAAAACATTTTAAACATGAAGATTTTATGCATCACATAACCGGTAGGTTTAAGGTCAGTGACTAAAACGCCTTTTGATCTTGTTAGTCTAGAAGAAAGTAATTTGTGATTCAAAATTTCATGAGACAAGGAAATGTTCTGAATTTAAATGAAATCAGTAGGAAATGAGTTGGTACAGGACACTCAACGGAAGTAAAGTGCTTAAGTATTGATGTATATATGGGTATTAATATAATGTTTCTTTTAAGTTATCAAACAGTACGTTTTCTGTAGCTAATAATAGGTAAGGTTAACTCATGAAGAATGAACGGATACAAGCTGAAGCACAAATCTTTGCAATAAGATGGAGAATAGAGTTCTCTAAGGTGTTAAATAAGCCTTCCCTTGAAGAGAGAGTTTCTTAGGAGGTACATTCAAGGCAGTATGGTGGATAGATCACTGATAAAACTGACAAAAACTAGAGAAAACTGGGAAATGAGGTGAAGCTTTTTTTTATAGGTCAGTTTGTACTCAGACTTCCAACCTATAACCATTTAGTTCTGAAACAACAATAGACCTCTGTAGTCCAGGGAACCTAATATCAGGGCAGCTTGACTTTTCAAAAAGGCAAGAATTAGCTATCATTTCCTCTCAAAATAGCTTGAATTCCTTACAAAGTATGCTACTATCAGCAGTTTTTGTCCAACCATCTTTGCTTTATCACCAGCAGAGATAAAGTTTTAACTGAAATCAGTGACCTTCAAATCAACCCTGAAAAGTCTCTTTCCAAAATGCAGAAGTAAGGAATAGTCTCTAAAGTACAAGGCAAAACATGAACAGGCTTAAAGTCATGGTTCTTATTCCTGCCATGAAGTCATGGTTCTTATTCCTGCCAGCCCATGCCTGGCACAGAGTAGAGTTTGTCCAGCAGGTGATTTCCCACTGTGGACTCTGACACTGTCACACTCTCCATGTGGTTTTGTGAGCTTCCCTCTCAGCATGCCTAGGAAAGTGTAAGCACACATACCTGCATTCCTTCCAGAGACACAGCAAGATTTAATCAAATGTACAATAAACATTGTGCAATGAAAATGAATGTTACTAGACAACATGCTATACTCCATGAACCATATGGCTAAATCACACACGGTGTGGTTTGGAAGCACATGGGGACGTGGCTGCGTCGCTCTAGTGCTAATCCTTCCACACTTCAGCCACAGGACAGAATTTGACCCAAAATCATGTCAACTTCTTTTTTTCACTGCAGTTGTTTTGTGTGCGTTTTTCTTCTAAATACCACAACAACCCATGCCAGAAATTAGGCTAAAAATACAGGAATTTTAGCTGGGCAAACAAATTTTCATGCCATTGTCCTATGTTGGATTTCCACAGAGAAGTGACTTCTGTGGCAGCAGCACCAGGTGCAGTTCTGTTGTTTCCAAAGTTTATTTTCACCTTTGTGGGAAAACTTACTGGGTTTCACTCTCTCAAATCAGTTCTTCAGCTATAGTATTGCATATGCCTAGTCTGTATCATGTCTTTATGTTGTCTTTCAATCCTCGTGCTATTTTTGAGCACCGAAAACAACCCAGTTTGTTTTCAGGAAGCATCTGTTCAGTTTTTAAGCAAGCAAAAGAAAAGCTGTTTTGCACAGTTGAAGGCAACCAAAACAACATCTCATTGAACTGTTATGACTTGAATCAAGCAAAGCAGCAGACTGGAAGTAGATAGTGCAAATATATACATTATGGTGAGTGCAAGTGTGAGTAAGCACAGGCAGGGATACAATCACGTAATTCCATTGTGCAGGTTTATCCTTAAGCATGTAACTTTGATTACCCCAGACTGAATGGCATCAGCCACTGGATGAATACTTGCCTGTATATTGTCTGAGAAGATCAACAGTCTTTGCTACTACACTTTGTACTGTACAGAGCAGGGAGATGTCTGACTTCACAAGTATTTTGGGGAATTACCCCTTTTTTCTAACTGCACTTAAACAGCCCAATTCTCCTTTCATGACAGAAACGGCAGATTCGTTGTGTTAAACAGTAATCTCAGGAAGATGACAACAGTCAGAGTGAAACAAGCAAAAATAAAATCCCAGAGAAAAAGCTTTTCTTAAGGAATGACTCCCAAGTTACCAGGGGAGGTATTTTTGCCGTAACGCCGCAGTGACCGGGTTGGATGGTCCTTTTCCAGCGCGGGCACTGACCCTGTTCGCTGTGCCGAGCAGACCCAGCTCAGCACTTCTCGCCCAGCCGTGGCTGGTGTCACTTTAAGGGCAGTTCTGCCGTCCGGCCGACACACAGCGCGGCTGGGAGATGGAGTGCGAGCGAACAGCGGCTCTGCGAGCGAACAGCGGCTCTGCGAGCTAAGAGCGACTCTCAGAGCTAAAAGCAGCTCTGCGAGCGAACAGCAGCTCTCGAATCCAACAGCGGCTCTCGGAGCTAACAGCGGCTCTGCGAGCTAAGAGCGACTCTTGGATCCAACAGTGGCTCCCGGAGCTAACAGCAGCTCCCGGAGCTAAGAGCAGCTCTGCGAGCGAACAGCAGCGGTCACGGGGAGCTGTGCAGTCGCGGGTGGGAGCTGTG